CCCAAAACACGCATTTTAAAAGTGCTCACTGAGGGTTTCTTGAGGTGGTATGTAGAAAATTCAGCAACAGCAGCAGTGTTTTTGTCTACGTGTTGCTTGGACGGTTTGCTGCCTGGAGGACGCACTTGCTCATGCCCTTCTCGTCCTGTCCCCCCCAGCATGGAGGAATGCCAGGCCCTGTGCACGAGACTGGCCATAATGGTCAACGGCAGCTTCCGGTGCCTTGGCTCCCCTCAGCACCTTAAAAGCAGGTATGTTGTACGTGTGTGTGTACGTGTATGTCTCCTCATCTGTTCACTGCATGAGTCGGTCACAACCGGTGATGCTTTCGAGCCAGAGTGGTCCAGCCCCTCCCGCGGAGGAAGGAGACGGGGGCCTGGGGAGATGAGGGGCCTTCGGGCCACCGACCGCGGCTACAGCTCCCACGTGGAGCCCAGCCATCCTCCCACCACGTTCACGGGCTTCTTCCGGGAGGACAGGCACTCTCAAAGTGACCGTCAGGATGAAAAGAGGAGAAAATGTGTCCTTGCCAGTGCAGGATACTTCATACAGAGGTTGTCCACCCCTGTAGCCCCCGTCTGGGGTGGGTGGGGGGCCTGTGTTACCTGCCAGCTGCTGTGCTGTTGGAAAGGCCTCTGTGGATTCAGGACGGGAGACCAGAGTTGTTTGGTCGATTTTCGTCCTCTCCGTGGACTTTGCGGAATCTTCATGATGTTGCTGACAGTTCCTACGAGCAGTTTTGCATCCTAGTCCCCTGGTTTTTTGCATTCAGTGTCCCCCAAGCTGTTTCCACAGTTTCGAATTTCCTCTTAACTCGCCGTCTAATCTGGTGTATCTGATCCAGAATAATTTTTTAATATGTTGATAAACCTCTTTCTGCTTTTATTTTATTCATTTTTTTTTTTGAAGCTGGAATTTGCAAGCTGAGATTTGCTAAGTAAACAGTCGTATATATTAAGGTGAAGTGTTTTTATTTCGTGGAGAAAATATCAGCGAATGCTTGGTTCTCCGGCCTGGGGAGCAAACACGCCTTTTCCGGTGGCTCAGAGTCGGGCACCGCGGGGACAGCCAGCCTCGATGCCGCGTGAGGCTCAGGGTCAGCCGCTGGTCAGACCGAGCCTGCTGGATGGAAACTGTTCTCAATATGCAGTCTGCTCATTTTTAATAAGTGTCATCAAAAGAAAAATAATCTTTCACACTCCCTCACCTTTATGAATGCTTACATAAAGTTTTATAGCCCATGCCTGATTGCCGGGTGATTTATGTCTGAGCTTCGCAAACTGCCTCTCTCAAGGTGGCTGCCGGAGCCCGGCCCCAGGACGCGCCAAGGCAGAATTAGCCTCCGTGCTGCACAGGCTCCCTCTCTTCTGGTTCCCGTTCCGATGACATGGCAGGTGGTTGAGGGCGGATTGTTAGCAATGTGGACTGTGGAATGACACACAGCAAGAAGCGGCTCGTGGGCGATTCATCAAAACACCAAACTTTGATACGTTGCAATGCGTAATTTGTCACGTTGGTATTTTCTTGTAGCCCATAAACTGATTACCTGTGTTTCCCTAATATGAGATAAAAAGTAAAGGGTTAATCTCACCATAGACCCAGGACTCCCAGCCTGTGTGCCAGCCGCAGGCCCTGTGGCCAGGAAAGCTGCATGGAGGGCATCTGTGGACTGTGTCCACTCTGTGCACAGCCCATGGGCACGCTGATCCTGGTGTGTGAGGCAGATATGACACCAGTCCTCGGCTTACAGCCCTGTTGTCCCCGACTCAGCATGTGATTTCGTCCCCGGGGTCTGAGATCTCCGCCCTGTGATTAGAGATTCAGGTTGTGCCCAGTTACCTCAGAGCCCAGCGCAGTGTGCGAGATGCCGCTGGGCGCCTGCAGCCTCAGGCGTCTGTCCCCAGCTGGGGACGGGTCGCTGCGAGGCTAGGCGAGCATGCAGCACATGGAGGGGAGCCTAGCTCAGGCCACGTGCGTTCTGCGGAGAAGCTGATACTTTGGAGCTGCAGGGGGAGCAGGAGGAGGGCGGGGAGCGGGAGGAGACGGGGTTC